TCTACACTTGGCCCCTGTGTAAGTATCAACATCCGTAGCTGAAGGCAGGCCTTCGGGTAAGGTATGTAGAGGTGACAGTGGATGGGCTCACCCTGGGAAGGGCAGAGCAAGGAGTGATGAAGGCTGCTGGGGTTCTGAAGAGATGCCTCACCTGTAAATGACAGCCTTCGCCAGTTCTACATCCTCCCGGGACTGACACAGGTGAAGCAAGGTTTTCAACTCGTCCTTCAAAATGAGTTTGTTCTGGGTCAACTTCTCTTCCAAGTTTCTGAAATAGATTTCTGTAAAGAAGCACAATCTCTCAGGATGAGTGGGACTGGAGGCTGACCTCAGTGACAGGAAGCCTAGCCACAGCTAAGAGGTACCAGAGGTACCTCTAATGTCATGGCTCGCTTCACTGGACAGCATGTCTAGAACAGTGGGGTCTGACGACGGCCTCCAAGGACCTGTGTCGTAGGCAATTCTGGGCCATGTACCACCTGAGTCTCTGGAAAACACAAACTGAGGGGGTAGTGGTGTCTCTGGAATTCTTTGGGTGATATTCAGGCACTCTCAAGTTGGACAACTACCATTCAAGTCCTAATAAGTAAAATACAGATGACTCATAAGAGGAGGAAATATAGCCAGATCCTCAAACCATCAATTAGCAAGAAGTGAAGTAAAAGAAAAATGTGAATTTCAATGGAGTTAGCCAGTGGTTAGACCAAGTAATTCAAGCATAGTTTGTGGTCTTGCATTTAATTCAGCTTTCCCCCTTTCATCTTCATGGCCTGTCTTTACTATGTTATAAGAAAGTAGCCATACTATTATATAATGAGCAGAGATTAAAAAAAAGGGAAAACAACAAAGACAAAACCACCACCAACAACCAACCAACAGCCAACCAAAAACCAGCTCTCTAAAACTAGCACTCTTTAGCAACAGAACCATTTTCAGCTCATCACTATCTCTTCTGGTCCCTTGTCTTTGCACTAATGACAATCTCTAGAGTAGTGTTTCTATGGGAACAAACACCAAAGGGAGCATGGCTTCTGAGCAGTACTTTCCTTAACACTGTTGTGAGACACAATGCAGGAAGCAAAAGGTAGGGCTTCCGGATTCAGGAGTTGCCAAGAAGTTGCCAAGGATTTGCTACAAGGCCCAGAGCTTTGAAGGAATGCTACTGATGTACACTTGCAATATAAGAGTGAGAGCCAAGTCACGTTTTTGGTGTACAAGGATAGACCTATATGGTTTGTGACCAAGGCACTGGAACTTTCAATCTTTCCTCTCAGAACCAGGTGATCATTTTACAGATGACCTGACACTTACACGCTATGAAAAGACCCTTGTCTGTGAAACACCATTCCTCATGCCCAAAGCAAAGTGCGTGGTGCCTATACCTCATGGGATTGCATGAGGGTAAGTACAGAAAGCATCTGGCATGGGGCCTACCATATAGTAGGTATTTACCACATAATCATAGTCCGAGCAATGCCTCTCTCACACAGTTATGGCTCCTCCTGCAGTGCTAAGTCTACGCAGGAAGGCAGGTTATTGTCATACAGGACAAGTGAATGATACCAACACAGCAGGAAGAGTCTTGTTCTCACATCTGTTGTTATTCTGAGCAAGACAGAGGAGTTTCCTGGAAGTAGGTAATCTCAATAAACGCCGTGATGGGACAGTCTGTACAAAGTGTGGCCTGAAAACAAATGTCACTGTGGGTTCCTAAAGTGCTGAACTGGGGTCAGAACTATGTGAATACCAGTCTGACCATAGAGTAGATAGGCGTGGGCTTTTAGACTGCATTTCAGAATACGTTCACAGCTGTCACAGCTTTGTGAAGACCATGGCAATTAGACATAGCAGACAATTACAGGGAGTCCTTCCTAACTGCAAACCTCACATAGCTAAAAAACACCCAAGATAAAAAGATAAAAAGAGATGGCTGAGAAGTTAAGAGCACTTGTTGCTCCTGCAGAGAACTCCGGTTCAGTGCTCTCAAGCTGCATGGCAGCTAACAACTATCCGTAACTCCACTTTTAAAGTATTCAACACCCTCTTCTGGTCTGTGTGAGCACTGCAAACACATGGTACATACACAGACATGCACGTAAAATACCAACATACATAAATTATTTTTTAAAAAATCTTTAAAAATATGTGAAAGAAATAAAAATCTTAAAAACATCAGTGACTCCACACTGAGTGCACTCAAGTGAAGATGAAAGTGTTCTCCCTGACTGCTAGGGTTCACCTCTGGATTCCACAGTGACTCCACCACATGATCAGCAGAGCAGTAAGAAGCAATTTGAGGACAGCAGGATGGGAGGGATGGAGGCATAAAGTGCCAGCCAGCAGCTCTATAGCATCTGGCAAGACAGGAAAGAGAGCTGGGCCTCGATCTGAAGAAATCCATTTATTTCACTGGGTCACAAGACAAGCTAACAGACAGGAAAGGGAGAGAAGGTTTTGGAAGGGGTGGCAGGGAGTGGAGGGTGAGAGTGGTCAGTATGTATCACGGACGGATGTAACTCATCTAAGAACAAATTTAATTATAACAAGTCAACAGTGACAAACAAGAGCTCTCTTAAAAAGGAAACAAGAAAAGCCAGAAGTCTTAGGTATCCTTATAAAGGAATCTGAAGTTCTAAAAAAATTCTTCCTGTAAAACAGAGGAAATGAATGCAGCAAGATTGCCAAGATGTTTTTTAGTGTTTTAAAATTTCAAAGTATTTTAACTAAATGCATTTAATTAAACCTCTGAGCATGGGTTTGTGCACATGTCTGCTTGCAAAGACCAGAAGAGGGCATCAGGTGACTTGAAGGTAGGGTTCTATGCAGCTGTGAGCCACCCAACGTGCATGTTACGAACCAAACTCAGCTTCTCTTGAACAGCAGCAATCACTCTTAAATCCTGAACTCTCTCTCAAAAGTAGGAATAAAAACAAAAAAAAAAAACAGTATAATAACCCTCAAGTGCCAATCAGGCCCAACAAATACCAATAGTTTGCTAATGTTGATTCTTCTATACACCCTAAACACAATGGACTTTTCAAAGTAAATCCCAGATTCTACAGGAAAAAAAAAAAAAGCGCCAAAATGCACTATTACACTATGGTCTTTTACCTACAAGTATATCGTAAGGGCTATGTTCCACCAAGGATTAACCAACATTGGAAAGCCAGTCACCTGGATCTTGAACTAGTGAATACAAATCATCTGCTGCCTTTCCAATCATATCTCTATCCATCTCCCAATTGATGTTGATGCCAGTCCTCAAATCATATCCTGAGGGGCACAGATCTAGATGATTAGCCACAGGGCTAATTTTACTATTTCCTGGGCTCCCAGGGGGCAGGGCTAAGAGAAGAGTTTAAGTAGCAGAGTATGAGATGAAAGGTAGACTAGGAAATTAAGCAAATGTTCACTTTTTTCTCTCTTTTTGATGGGTTTTGAAAGAATGAATAGCGACAAAGAGGAAATTTGAAAGACAATGGATAAAAGAATTCGTAAAACTGTTAACATTACCTTTGGTGCCAGGAAGGTTATACGCAACAGCCACCTTCTTATGTTGAAATTCCCTTAGTTTCACAACGCTATCTGTGAGTAGGTATCTTTTAGCTAGAAATGAGAAAAAGAAAATAAGTGAAATAATTTTGACTGTTTTTTTTTTCCCCTAGCAAATAACATAAGAGCTTGGTTGCCTCTAATGAACTCATCTTCACTTAGTACATTAACAATGATCCATCCATGGAGGTATATATATTATAGTATTCGTGGTGGGGAAACAAACACCGGTATACTACTGGATGCATATTTTGGCAAAAGTCTTACATTTGGAAGAATGTGGTGATTAAGGGAGTGTGAAGACTGGTTGACAAGATGAGATGTGAAGGACAAACGGGTATTTGCCATGTAGTAAGGTCTAGCAACTGCACACACACACACACACACACACACACACACACTTTCGTTTACTTTGGGAGAAGCATGGGATACTGGAAAAAGCTACATCATGACTTCCAGTTTTGAAACTTCTGAATTGAAGACTAGGTAAGGCTACTCAGAAATCACTGACCACAGCTTAGCAAGCCTGTAACATATCCTTCTTTCAGCATCCTTGGCTGTGCATGAGATTAAAAACAGATGAAGGTTGGCCAACAAATCATGCACCGAGTTCTGTTACGATAAAGTAGTAATAAAAACAGCTATTTATGAAAAGGCATTCCTGTGAAGCTCTCAGACCCGGGTCTTTAGTTCAAATAATCATCTGCCAGCTCCCCGGGGCAAGTGACCTTGGGCAAGTGACAACCCCGACTGTTTCCTACTTTGTAGACAGGGAAAAGATGTGTACTTCTGTCACTGGACGCTGACTGAAAGAAAGGAATTCATATATGTAAAAGGCCAATAGAACGTTAAATACTTTTATTGTCACTCAGTAGCAGTCTCACGTTTAATATTTTCAGAAAGGCGGTAAGGAACAACTTGGGGGATGAGGGCGCCTGCCTCGAGTCTTTTAGAATGTACGCAGCATGGCTTGGGTTCCCATCTCTTAAACTCCGTACCAAAACCTTGCAGAAAAGGACACCCAAGGGGTGAGGAATGTTCTCAAAGGGCAACGTGGACCTCTCCAGACCCTAGCTGCCCGTGGCTTTCCAGGCAACAGGGGAAGGCAAACCAGGGCGCACCAGCCTCCTCCAAAGACAGACGCCGCTGGGGTTTCACGCCCCCGTCTCTTCCACCCTCCCTCCTTCCGCAGCGTGAAGCCGCGGGTACCTCCGAGAGCGCGGCGGAAGCAGGCGGAGCCCGAGCCTGTCGCCCCGGGATTCAACGAAGGACGGGGCGCCCGCAGCCGTTCCAAAGGCCGAAACACCGTAGCCATATTGTTCCGGGCCGGACCGCACCAACTGTGGGACTCGAGCAGGGGGAAAGCGTCCAATGTGATCCGCCCACTTCCGGCGGGGGCGGGCTCTGTCCCGCCCTCCTCCGAGCCTCACCCCCGGGCCGGCGTTTCACTTGGTACGCTTCAAGATGGCGGCCCCCATGGTGCGGTGTGGGTCGCTCCTGGCTCGAAAAATATCCACGTCTCGCCTTTCTCTCGCAGGTTGGTGACGGCTGCCTTGGAGCTGCAGCTCCTTTAGACCTCTCAACACGCTGTTCGCTGAGTGACGGGAGCGATGGGCTTTCAAAGAGAGCGTAACTGCTTCTAGGATCCGGTTGCTAGAGAAGCCGATTAGGCTATTGGTACCGAAGAAAGAAAAAAAAATAACATCTCCTTAAGGATAGAACCCGCCAATCCAAATTTTAAGAAGTGTAGGAAGGCTGTGACGTGAGAGGTTTTGCGTATGTCTTGCAGGTCCAATATTTTAAACTAGTAGGTCTTTGGCTGAGCAGGAAAAACCCGAATATGATTACTTCTGGAGCTAGAACTGTTCTCTTTCTCCTGAGATTTCTTTGGAGGGGCATCAGGCAGAAGTTTTCCTCACTGCCTCGAACTTGATGGTCCGGACCCTTGGTCGTCACTTCGTGAAGGAATTTTTCAATAGTAGCCTCACTTCACCTGATGACCTTGGTCACAACGTCTGCCTGACGTTTTTTTAGTTTTCCACGTGTAGGTAAACAAGTAGAGCACGTTGAGGTCTTGAGTGGACATCACTCAGAGCCTTTTTAGTGGACCTCATGCTGAAAACATGTTTTAAAGTATTTACAAAAGCCAAGTTTGCAGTGGTCACAACCTCGTATTACAGAAGTGAAATGTAGCAACCACACCTGGGTGTTTCCATTGCTGCTTCTCTCCTGCTTTCAATCGCCTTCCTTAACACTGGTTTAAAAAAAAAAAAAAAAAAAAGCAGTGCACTTGCTCACACTGCTTAATGTACAGCCATTAAGAAACTTCATAGTTGGCCTCAAGAGTTTTCTGAAGATAAAGTGTTTGAACTACCTGGTAAGAATGTTGCATATCCCACATTTGACACATTGATAGGAACAATACTTGGCACCAAAGTAAGGATGGTTTGTAGAGCTACTCAGGATATTTAATTATGATTGCTGGTAAATTCTTTGAAGTCAAATAAGACCCATTGTAGTAGATAAGGGAGATTGTGTTGGTTGCTTATAGTGTCTGGGGCAACCATTCTAACAGCGAAATGGAAATTACATCGAGCAACTTGACAGAACCATTAATATAGCAGTTTGGTTTCAGTTTAAACTGGTAAATTTATGGTAAGCTGCACCCGTGCTATTCCAACACTTAAGATTTGGATATGAAGATAAATGACTTACAGACATTGAAATGTTTGAGCTGGAAAAATATTCTGCTTTAGACAAATTCATGACCAGATATGCAACACTTTGAGCCTTCTATCTAGTCTACTTAAAATAGGATAAAAGAGTACAGCTAAAATGAACAAAAAGATGGCATTAAATGAGATAGAGCAACAACAACAAGACAAATAAATGGAAAGGTCAGAGGAAGGAAGCTTGCTGGGTACTATTTAGTGAGTCCTTAACCACCATGCTCAGACAGGCAGTGTTCTCTCATTCTGTGTATGAAGAAAGAAAATCAGAAACGCTGTGTGATTTGCCCAATTTTTTATAACATGTATTATTAGCAAGGCAAGAGTTAAAAGTTAAATTGTGACACTAAAGCTTATCCATTTCCACAATCACATTATTTCCTTCTTTTAAAAACAAAGCAAGCACAATGCTTGGAGACATTTGATTAAAGGCCTAAATAGAACCAGATGTAGTGGCATACACCTTTTGTCCCAGCACTCCGGAGGCAAAGAGGCAGAGGGTGGCGGATCTCTTGAGTTCAAGGCCATCATGGTCTACAGAGGGAGTTAAAGAACAGCCAGGACTACACAGAGAAACACTGTTTCCAAAAAAACAAAACAAACAAACAAAAAGGCTGAAATAACAAGTGTGTAAGGATTTAAATGGAACGGATATGATTTTCACCAAATTTGAAGTTCTGGTCTTTCTAAGTATTATAGAATTCAATGGAGAAAATATTTCTTTTTGTTGAGGACACTTATTAGAGAATATTGTTGCTCCAAGGAAAGCGACCTAACAGTAATAGGCTTGGGAAAATTTTAAACACTCTAGTCTTTGAGGCAGGGTCTTGTATGTAGGGCTGGTCGGTAGAAACCCTGTATAGAGCATGTTGGCCTTGAACTTGTAGACACTCCCACCTTTGCCTCCAGCCTGGCTAAGCAAACATTTTAAATGGCATGCACAGAGAGGGATTGGGCAGGCTGAGACCTAAGCCTGAATTCAGATGTGGTCTGAGGACTTTCATTGTCACTACCCAGTCACTTAGATGTGTGGAATCTGTCTGCTCTCTAGACACACCGTTATATGAGGTTATTAATATTTACTATTGGTTTATCTTCTAGTAGAGCTTGCTGTTAATCTTAAACAGCTGTATAACCAAAGCACCACACAGAGACTGGGTTTTTAGTTAACCTAGAACACAATGCTGGGCAATATTTACTCCCTCCTAAACCTCCAAGCCCTCACTCAGTTTCCTAACATTTAGATTTCCCACGTTGTACTTGCTTTTTGTGAAATCTTAGGTCTGGTTCATGCTCCACTTCCTCCAAGATCTCTCCTCCAGCTCTGCTTTCCTAGCTCTCCTCTCTCCCCTTCTCCTCCCACTCATCTCCTGCCTTCTGGCTCCTCCCTGCTCAATATTGTGTCTAGTTGCTTTATTTTGTCCTGTTTACACAAGAGTTGAGACAGGTTGCTTAGAATGAGTATCACAATGCAATATCTGGATTGAAACCAGAGTTGGGGGTGGGGTGGAGGAGAAATCAGTATTTGAGTGAACAAGGGTAAGGTGTATACATTAAAAAAAAAAAAAAAGCATTATACCAGCAACATACAGAACTACTGTATGTTGCATTTTAATGAGATTCATATGCAGAGTAAAATTGGACAGTCTGATCCAGGTCTTTGCTTCTGGTCCATTTCCGTTCATCCTTTGCCCACAGCTGTAGAAATTCTTTGGTTGTAACATTAATATACAGACCCTCAGTTAGTGTGCAGTAATGGAAAAACCTTTGGTCTATATGATACTCATAAAGCATCACTGAAAGGTTAATGTGTTGTTTTATTTTACTTATAAAAAAGTGTGTGTGTTGAGTATGTGTGTATGCATACTTGTGTGCACATGCTTGAATATGAAGGCCAGAGGTCAAAGTCAGGTGTCATCTTCAGTTCTTCTCCAACTATGTAAAACTCAGGTTGTAATGCTTGGGCCATCTGTTAGGATGCTGTGTATTTGCCTTTTATTTTGGAGTTCTTCTTTTCCTTTGCTTGAGGTAGAATTTACATGCTGTTCAATTCACACATTAAAAGTACACAGTTCTGAGACTTTCAGAGTTGTGCAAGCATCTTTACAACCAATTGTGTGATATTTTTATCACACCCCAAAGAAATCTATATTTATTGCCAGTTACTCTCACTTTCTCAATCCCCATTCCCAGTTCTAGGCAACTTGTAACCTACTTCCTATCTCTTTAGACTTATCTGCTCTGATGTTTCATGTAAGTAGAATATAGTATGTGCTCTTTTGAAACTGAAAACTTTTCACTTAACATAATGTTATCAAAGTTCTTATCTTTAAATTGCTGAAATGTTCCATTATAATGATGTACCAAATTTTGATATATAACCTGAGGATATTTTGGTTATTTCTGCTTTTTATCCACTATTAGAAATACTTCCATGAACATTGGTATATAAATTTGATGCAAATTTAAGTTTTCATTCTTCCATATACCTAGGAGTAGAATTGCTAGGTCACTTGGTAATTCTGATAACATTTGGGGGTGCTGTCTGTTTTCCCATGCACCTGCACTACTGAATAGTCTCACCAGCAATGTATAAAGTTTTCACCCCGACTATATTTTTGCTTTGTGATTGTGTTCTTCATAGTTGGTGGCTTTGCTTTCTATTTCCCTACTGGCCAGTGTTGGTAAGCATCTTTGCTTGTGCCTCTTGATTTTGTGTGTGTGTGTGTGTGTGTGTGTGTGTGTGTGTGTGTGTGGTCTTAGGAATTGAACATGAGGCCTTCCATTTGCTGGGTTAGCACGCTATTACTAATTGCCCAGCCCTTTTGTACTAATCTTTAAAAAGTTTTATTACGTTTATTTATTTACTTTGTAGTAGAGGGGAGCACATATATGCTCTGGTACTGTGTGGAGGCTAGAGGGCATTCTCTCTCCGTCCAAGCGTTGAACTCAGATTGCCAGGGTTAGCAGCAAGCCCTAAACCCCTGAGCCATCTTACTGGCCTAGTACTTGCTGGTTTTTAGACTAAGTTGCTTAGGCTGACCTTGAACTAACTCCGAAGCCCAGAAAGGCCCTGAGCTTGGGAACCTACTCCTTCAGCCTCCTCCATGGCTGGGATTATAGACTTGTATCACTAGGCCTAGCATAACTCCCCCCCCCTTTTTTTTTTGAGAAGTATCTGTTCAAATCCTTTGCCCACCTTTCAGTCGGTTGTCTCTCATTGTTAAATTGTAAAGGTATTTTATGCCCCTGATACAAGTTACTTATTTTTTTCCATGTTGTAGATTATTTTATCACTTTCCTGAGAATATGCTTTGAGATAGAGAAGGTTTCACCGTTGTTGAGACTGCCATCAGCTCTTCCTTGTTTATTCTGGGAGTCCATGTAACTGAGCACTGTTTATTCCCAGCTGCGGGGAATCCAGCTCTGCCACCTGTGTGATGCTTCTAATTCACCTTTCAGGTTTCTTTTATCCTCATGGAGTTCTGGGTCACTGATAAGATACTTTTATTTCCTTTATGCAAAATATGGATAAATATGGTAATCTAAGTCAAATAGAGATGTTTTCAGGATTGATAACTCATCCATTAATGATTAACAATAGTACTGCAGGTTATTTGTGGTCTGGGAATGATTTTAGGACTCTGAAAAGCTGGGCTGTAATTAAATAGCATAAATGACTTTCAGTTCTAACGTTGAAAGAAAATAAGCAGCATGCTCACCTGAAACTGTCGTGGAGCTTTTCAGCTTGTTCTGCATTTTGTCGTGAACCCTGCGGTATTCAATTAGAGCGTTATGTTAGAATTTGAAGAAGTACATATACTGGTAGTTGCAGATATGACAGAAGTCATGTTTGGTGAAGGTCTGTGAAACAACATGCCTTTTGAGATGATTGTCTCTCCCTCAGGTAAAAGATGCCTGCTTTCTGCAGCGTACGTCGACAGCCGCCAGTGGGAAGCCAGAGAGAAGGAGCAATGCCACCTGGGTAGGTGCTGCCCCGTGTTCTGTCACTTGTGGCACTCCACACGCCTCGCATCATATGCTCTCATGATGCATACATGAAAAGATACTTTTACAATGACTCAGCTCACAGAAGTACACTTTAAGTCTTAAAAAAGCTATGATCACACATGGAGGCTTGCCTTTGCCCTTCCATTCCTAAAACTGTCTTTATTATTTGCCTTGATGGTTACACCACCAAGGTTGTATAAACAATTTTTCTTGCTTTTCGTTCACTGTATTCTGTAGTTTTCACACAGCTTGTTTCTGTTTACAGACTTTTACACTTTATACGTTTGTCTTTTCAAACTCATTGTTTTCTTAACTTCTATATCATTGCCAAGTGACAGATTTGGAAGCAAATTTGCAGTCTCATGGAAGCCATGAAAAAATAGTGAGTGTCTTCCCAGCAGCACGCTCCTCCGCTCCCTGTTTCTCTTGTTCAGATTGCAGCCTTTCTTGTATGAATTACCGGGCCTAAGCAATGTCACTGACCCCTCACAAGCACCTTTTCCAAACGCACACACACTTCCGACTGCCCTGCCAAACATGGCCCTGCAGAGTGACATGATCAGGGACCAGTTATGAGACTGTAGCGCCCTGCACACGGAGGCAGACCTAACATGCCCACCTACCTCCACACACTTGTTCTCTCACTGTCCTCTGTGCTGTGTTAGATGAGAGCAAAGTCTTCCTTTATGATGGACTCTTCCAGAAGTGCAGGGACATAGCTGTCAGTTCTGGCTACCTTTTTGGATGCTTTGGAATGTTTGTGGTCTTCTCTGAGAATGTGAGTTGCCGAGTTGGCCGGCAGCTCTGAAATGGGCTTGTGTGGACAGGGCCAGGCAGAGCAGAGCTGGGCAGGGTGTGAAGGTGAGCGATCAAGACCTCCACAGCCAGCCTACAGTAACTTGAGATTAAATCTACATACAATGCTTTCTAAACATGCTTTTTAAAATTTATGCAATTACATGCTGTAAAAGAGAAACAAAATGAAGTAATTTGATGAATAATCGTGTTTTGAAATGTGAAGAAATATTTAGGCCTCACTGAGGACTTGGAAGTCACCTCATGCTTTCATTCTGCATGTACAGCTTTGAACAGAAAGGACAATATGCATGGGCACAGATGTACTATACTGGTGAAATCAGACATCACAAGTGTACATAGACTGACATTTTATTTAGAAAACAAGCAGCTTTTGGCAAAGCTCTGAATAAGTAAAAGACATTGAAGAACGCATTAATGAAAATGTGGCCTATTTTTAATTATGAAAGAAGTTCTTTGTGTTAATGTGTAAAGTGAAATCAGTTCCATTAATTAGACAGGTTTTTAAGTAGTAAAAAATAAAAATGTCTCTCACTGAACTTGGAGGTGAGCTAGCTACCAGCAAACCCAAGCAGGCTTCCCACCTCTATCCACAGTGCCCTAGAAATGGGATTACAGGCCTGCACACAACCTCTCTAGGCTTTTGATGTGCACTTTGGAGAGTCATACTCAGATTTTCACACTTGTGCAGCAAGTACTCTTAACTTACTAAGTCAGATCCTACCCCTGGAAGTAATTTTCAGCTTACAAAAAATTATCGAGTTTCTCCTCAACCTTTGCTCATATGCACTTTTTGGTACCATTTTGATGTATTTGCTCTTGCTTTCTAATTCGTGTGTGTGTGTTCTGTTTTGTCCCTATCAGGGAAGTGTGCACATGCTGTTTTTTTTTTTAACTATCTGAGAGTTTGTTTCCTACATTATAGCTCTTTATCTTAAATTCTTCAGTATGCGTTATCCAACATGTTATATACCATAGCACATTTATTGAATTCGTTAATTAATGGATTTTTCATGTCTTTTATTATTTAACTCTTTATTATTTGACTTATTTATTGTTTTTTCTTATCTTTTTTTTTTATTTTTAAAGGGCAAAATACTCAGACAATTTAAATACAAATCCAACAGAACCATTGTTGGTCAGTCATAATGCCATCATGTGTCCTCGGAGTTCTCTCAGTGAGGAAGAAGGCTCTGATACTTTATTCATACACATCCTTCTTATCTGCAATGTAATCTACAATTTCTTGTGGACACATTAACTTCTCTGCATCTATATCAGGGATTTTAAACCCAAAGTCATTTTCCATGGCCATAATAATCTCCACTTGGTCCAAACTGTCTAAGCCCAGGTCCTTCATAAAATGAGAATTTACTGAGAGCTTTTCTGGGTCAGTTTTGTCATAGAGTTTCAAGACATACAGAACTCAGTCTTTGATTCCCTCTAACGTCAATGGGGGTGCTTGACTATACTGGCCGCACAGGTGTGTGACCCTTCCAGGCACCTGCGCGAGGGCCAAGGCGGGCTGCAGAGTCCCGGGTCTCCTCCAGGTTCCCTCAGTGCGGAGAGTGGTGCTGAGTGGCCGAGACAAGGCCGGTGTGGGAAGCTGGGACAGCGGTGCGTAGACCGTGGGCAGGCGGTGGACACAGGCGGAAAGGACATGGGCCGCCATGGCTGCGCCAACCCAGAATCTTTTCTTATCATTTTGACTTTTTATTATTAATTGTCCTTAATCACATTTTTTCTACTCCAGGTTCATGTTGCAGTTAAATCAAGTCTTTAATTTGAAATTATTCCTTATCCTTTTTTACCTCTTACGACTTTTCTTATCTTTATGATTAGGTGCAGTTTTGCCTCCCCAGACAGGCTGCTTTCTTATGCCATGACCCTGTCAGGCTGTCTGAGCTGCACACAGCTGATGTCTCTGTGCCTCCACCAGGCATGTCAGCTGCGGTCCCCTAGTCGCATGCATCTGATTTCTCAGCTGCATGACTTTTTTTTTCTCCCTCTTGACTGTAAGTAGGGAGACATTTAACATAATGATGACTTCCTGCTGCTTCTCAAGTTCCCCTAAGATTTTTTTTCCCCATTCATGCTCTAGCCTGAGTCAGACTATACTGTGAAGGTTGCAAAGTGATGATTTTCCAATTCTCCGTACTTACTTAGCACCCAGCGTTCTCCTTAGGCAACAGCCCTTGCTTTCTTTTGTGTTTCTTTCTCATTTATGCATCTGTGTTCATACATTGTGTTGACATCTTGTTGATTTTTGTGATGTTTTTCAGTGGTTCATTTCTGTCATTATGTGGAAGTCAGTGTCCCATGCCTGCTGGCTAGCATAAATGCTTTCTCCTTCTCACTCCTTCCTTCTTACCATTTAACTGTGTTGTCTTTCCCTTCCCTAGCCTGGGCTCAGCCCTTTCTTGGGAACTCTTTCCAGTTCTGTGTGGAGTGGGTGGTATTGGAACAGGGTCTGGTGTTAGATGCCATTGATTTCTTACCTGCTACCCCAGTCTCCAGCATCTGCAGGGGGGTTTCCCTGGTCTGGATGGGGTCTCCTGTCTGCTTAGAGCGTGGCTTCCAAGAGAGGCAGCATTTTTGTGGGGAGAGTCACACCACTGCATGTTATGCAGTTTCTCTGTCTTCTACCCAAAAAAGTACCAGCTATGTCTTCCAGTTATCGTGAAAGTCACCGATAACCTACGCATGTTAAGATGCCCCCTGAAGTCAGTTTTTCTCTTAGAAGCCACTGTTCGAGGGATAATTCCAATGTAGCTTCAGCTAGTTATATAGCAAAGGTTGTTCTCGTGTGCCAAACATGAGTTTCCCACAGTGCTATGGAAATATAAATATGGGAATGGTGCATTCTGGGAAAGCATGTTGTTAAACATTTTTTGTAGGTATGGAGGAAAGATGAGGAAATGGAGACAGCCGCTGTTTGTGTCTTGTGTCAGGTATAGTTAGATCTGTTATATGGACAAAAATCTAGGGATCCTTGTCCTAGTTACATGAATAAACAAGTTGTTTGCCAAAGAATAGGATGATAATCTGCGGCACATGAGCATCACCGGGAGGCAACCATCTCCTCTCTGTTAAGACTAGTATTTGGGAAAACAGGAAATTACGATTTACTGAGCACCTCCTGTCCTTGCCTGTCTACCTCCAGTGCCTTGGTACATTTAGTCAGAACTGTTTCCCTACCCTGTGTCTGTCTGTGCTTTCCTTAGGTAGCATGATGTGGATTCTGTACCCAAGAGGCTGCCATCAGAGTTTGTGTCCCCGCCCGTGTCTATAACTATAAATCAGGGGTGGGTGATGCCTGTCTTAGTTCCTAAACATTCATCCTAGAAATATGCAGAATGAGTGAATCCCTGGGTCCTTAGTGTTTGTCCCTGTGTCCTTAGTGTTTGTCCCTGTATATAATATTTCATGTGAAATAAAGTTTGGAATTCAGATTGCTTGGAAGAAAAAGAGCCTTCGGGGACTGTATTTTCCCATTGTATAGTAGAAAGTGAACTGCTTCCTTCCGCCTCTGCTTCATACGTGCACATTTTTCAGTGTGACAGCTTGCTTTGAGGGTTGAGATCTGACTGAGCAGGGCTGCAGGCTGAATGCTCCGGGGCCCCCCTGCTGCATCTCCGCCTGACGGGCAGTAGATGGCGGGTGTGGTCCTTATGAGAAGCGCTCTTCCTCCTGCTGGTGGCGCGGGCCTATGGGGAACCGTGCGCTCATGTGGAGCACCGTGATTGGACTCGGGGCTGGGAGGGCCGAGAGGTGCTCGGGTCGGGCTTCCTGATTGGAGGAGGGAAGAGGGCTGATATGAGGCATTTCGTGCTGTCGCGCCCATTGGCACAGGAGCGGGTGTGGCGTTCTTGGCTCCGCCCGACGAGGCCTGGAAAGGCTGCTCCCGCCGGGCCTGGGGTCCTTGAATTTAAAGTGCTGCATTTCTGTTTTCTTGAAAGATGCTTGTTGCATTGCCTTGTGCATTCGAATACAGTGAGTTACCACAGAGTGAGCACACCTGTCTAGGAGATGGAGCATTCTTCACGCTCTGGAGGCCGGGTTGTGCCTACCTCTCTTCCGAGACACCCGAAGTCCTGACTTGGGACACCATAGGCTTCTTTATAAAAGCGTTTTTCAGGAGAAAGTATAAACAGGAAA